TTTTGTTTTTTGTGTCTGCACTTAGTTAAAAATTTGATTCATAAAAAATGCTAGTCTAGAAATGGTAAGTGATGATACCAATTTTATATTTTCACTAATTTTTTTCTACATCATAATAAGTTTTATCATAAAATTATATTTTATATAATTGTTTTCCTTTGATAATTTTATTTTGGACAATACTATATTTATCTTTCACAACTTTGATTTTATAACATAATTAATTTTATCACAACATAACAAATAAATACTCCCTCCGTCCTAATTCTTTCTTCCCAGTTTGACTTTTCCCCATTTTTAATTTTTGGTTTTGACTTCAAATTTTACCCTCTTTAAAAAAGATTTTTTGAAATTTTTTTTGCAATCATTCAAAATATAGAGTTAGAAGATAATTGGTGTAAATACATGAGGGTATTAATATCATTTGTCATCTTTTTTTTTCTAATAGGAAGGTAGTTTTAGGACGGAGAAAAAGGGGAAGTGTGAATAAAGTTTTAGGACAGAGGGATTAAATGAATTGCTTTTTAAAAATAAAAAATATAAATACTCAATTAATGTCACGAAGTAATGAATTCTTTATTTGTCCTAAAACTTTTTACGTAAAATTTTTCCAAAATTTGAATCATTATTAAATTTCTATTTTAAAATTAAAAGAAATGTCAATTCATCATTAATAAACTTTGCCACATAAGCAACCAATAAAGGGTTGTCATCTCACCTTAATATAGCCCACATAAGCTTGACACTTGACGACTTTCTAGCAAACGGAGTCTCAAATATTATATTAAAGGACTATATTTTTTATAACTAAAAATAAATTTTTATACAATCCTTTTTTAATTATGAAATACTATAAAAAGGTTAAGTGAAATTGTAACAAAAAGCACTCTAGCTTGAATGGTTAGGAACTCAATTAAATTACCAAGAGATCTTGGGTTCAAACCTCATGGTGGTATTCTTTTGGAAAAAAATTGCAAAAAAAAGGTCCGATTCGACTGGCCGGTTTGTCCAAAAGGGTGACACATCAGATTTGCCAAATGTCGTGCCATAACTTCGCCAAATGTTGCCTTCCTACAGCTCCGACTCTCCTTTATATATATAAAGGATATTAATAATATTATTAATTAACATTTTAAATCTATTCACCATTTCCTTTAAAAAATGTGAGTTATTAAACTATTCATAATTTTTCATTTTTAATCTTTTCTCTATTTCCTTTTTTTGTCAATATTTCACTTAAGAAACAAAAAAGAAAATAATACATCTAAATTTAAATAAAAAAATAATACATATATATTAAAATAATACACTTCTATAAAAAATATATTTTAGAACTATAAAAAATTATATAACGCATATTATAATTTTTTAAATAACTAAAAAAAATCTTTTAGTACAATATCAAAATTTAAAATGTAAGCAAGTCCGTGCGAAGTATGAGGTTAACTTGAGACCATAAAAAAGGTGAAAATAAACGTTCATCAATGAGGAGAAAGATGATGACTATGAGAATGCCTTGGAACCTCTTATTGCATCATCCATTTTTTTACTTCTCATCTTGAACAATGTACAAAATCTCATTATTTTTAAAATTACTTAATTTATAAATTGGTATATTAATAAAAAATACAAATTACATTGTTCAAAACTATATCAAAATTTTTACAGAACAAAGTGTGATGAGAATACTTTATCTTATCAACTGAATAACGAGACTATGGATACAAATATAAAAACAAGTACTCATGGTGAAATTTACCCCAACTTGAGATGCTCCCAATATAGCATCCAAATGTAAAACTTGTCCAAAAAAGATTGTCATGGTTCATTATTAAAAAATTATGAGACTTTTGTTTATTTATGTCTTTTCATTGACAATTCAATAAAATATAATATTCTTGTCATCATTTTTTTAAAAAATTTTTGAAGTTATTTTAAAATATGTAATTTTTTTATTTTTTGTCAATTTTTAACTAAAATAAATATAAAAACTTGAAATTTCATTTCATTTATAAAATGTGGAAAACAATTTGGGACAAGAGTATTATATGACTTGGAGTTGGAAAATGACTTTTTTGTATATGAAAAATGACAATACTTTTTTATTCTAAAAACATAGATTAAGATGATATTATTCTGAATATAATAATAATAATAATAATAATAATAATAATAATAATAAATTATAAGAATAAGAACTAGAAAGAGATTAATATAAAAAATAAACTTAAATAAACTTTCACTTTTTTTAGATTTTCCAATTTTTTTCAATTTTTCCAGTTCCATCTAAATTCTTGCAGCTTTTTTCAATTCTTTTCGATTCTTCTAATTTCTTCTAATTTCTTTTCATTTCTTCCAACATTTAATTATTTTTGAGAAAAAAAAAACAGCCTCTGAGTGAGAAGCCATTGAGTGAGACGTATTCAAAAAAAAAAAAAAAAAGTGAACAGGCGAGAAATTGAACGCAAAAATGGCAATATGGCATCAATCTCAACTTCTTTTAACATTCTCCGCCGCCCCTCTCTCCGCCGCCCCACGCAGAGAATCCCTGCGGCAGAGCGGCCTGCTTCTCTCCCGTGTCTCCGATAACGTCGCCGAAGACCTCCAACTGCGTTCGATAGATCCCGGCTCAACAGGAGTATTTCCGACAACGTCGCCGAAAACCTCCTGTTGCCGGCTCAACAGGAGTATTTCTGTGAGCGTTATGATGCTTCATGTACACAGTTCCTCCGGAATCGTGCGAGGCCAAGAGAATCGGCACAACCGTACTCAAGAAAGCCTCCGCCTCTGTTCTCAGCCGTATGAATATGAACCCCAGCAAGTATTTTTCCGTTCTTCCTTCCATTCTTTGAATTTTCGAAGGTTATATTTGCAAGCTCATGCATCTAAATCCACCTCACTACGAGAAAACCTGCCCCTTCTCAAAATTGGAAGTCCCACAACTATTAAGTTTGATAGAGGAGTTAGGGTTTTTGCTAGGGTTAAGCTTCGGTGTTGTTCAAAGGCTTTAGGTTCTAGTTCGAAAACTACCATGAATGGTAAAAGGAAAGGGCATGCAGGTGTATTGCCAATTATTTTGCGGTCTTTGGCCACTGAGAGTGAGGCTGAGAAGATACTCGATTCGTATTGCGGCCAACTTAGTGCTAGGGAGTTAACTGTGATTCTCACGGAACAGAGTAGTTGGGAGAAGGTAATTAGGGTGTTCGAGTGGATGAAATCGCAGAAAGATTATGTGCCTAATGTGATACACTACAATGTTGTGCTACGCACCCTGGGCAGAGCCAGAAAATGGGATGAGTTGAGACTCTGCTGGACTGAGATGGCGAAAGATGGGGTTTTGCCAACAAATAATACATACGGAATGCTTGTTGATGTGTATGGAAAAGCAGGTCTTACAAAGGAAGCACTTCTGTGGATTAAGCATATGAAGGCGAGAGGAATTTTCCCCGATGAGGTTACAATGAGCACAGTGGTTAAAGTTTTGAAGGATGCTGGAGAGTATGAACGGGCAGATAGGTTTTATAAAGAGTGGTGCACTGGGAAAATCACTTTTAATGATCTTGATTTGGATTCTGTTAGTGAGCCGAACACAATTTCTAGTTCAGAGCCCTTAAGTTTGAAGCAATTTTTATTGACTGAGCTTTTCAGGACAGGAGCCAGGAGCCCATCTAGGGCTGTGGAATTTTCAGAAGCAGAGGGATCTCTTAGGAAACCTCGACTTGCATCAACGTATAATACTCTGATTGATATGTATGGAAAGGCAGGCCGTTTACAAGATGCCGTGGATGTGTTCGCAGAAATGCTAAAGTCTGGAGTGACATTGGATACTTTTACTTTCAACACCATGATCTTTATTTGTGGAAATCATGGTAATTTGGGCGAAGCTGAAGCTTTGCGCTATAAGATGGAGGAAAGAGGGATATCTCCAGATGTAAAAACATTCAATATCTTTATCTCTCTGTATGCCAATGCAGGGAACACAGACATAGCTCTTCAGTACTACAAAAGGATAAGGGAGTTTGGCCTTTTCCCTGACGATGCATCTCGTAGATCCATCCTTTTTATACTATGCAAAAAAAGAATGGTGCATGAAGTTGAGGCCGTGCTTAAAGAAATTGAGAGTTTAGGCATGCATGTTGATGAGGGGTGTCTTCCAGTTGTTACAGAACTGTATGCTAGTGAAGGACTGATGGAGCAAGCGAAGATCTTACTTGAAAAGTCTCAATTGACTGGTGGTCTGTCATCAAAGACTTACGCTGCCATCATGGATGTGTATGCAAATCGGGGACTCTGGGCTGAAGCTGAGGATGTTTTCTCCTGTAAGAGGGATATGTTCAGGCAGAGGAGAACAGTGTTGGAGTATAATGTCATGTTCAAAGCTTACGGGAAAGCAAAGCTCTATGATAAAGCCTTTTCCCTCTTCAAGGGAATGAAGAGTCAAGGGACATGGCCTGATGAATGCACTTATAACTCTATGATTCAGATGTTTTCCGGATGTGACTTAGTGGACCAAGCAAAGAAACTTTTAACTGAAATGCAAGATGTTGGATTTAAACCATCATGTCTGACGTACTCTGCATTAATTGCTAGTTATGTCCGTGTGAGTAAACTTTGTGATGCTGCTGATGTTTTTCAAGAAATGCTTAAAACTGGAGTAAAACCAAATGAGGTAGTGTATGGATCTTTAATTGATGGGTTTGCTGAAGCTGGTCACTTTGAAGAAGCCATGAACTATTTCCATATGATGGAGGATTCTGGGGTATCAGCTAATCAGATAATCTTAACTTCCATGATTAAGGCATATAGCAAGCTCGGTTCAGTAGAAGGAGCAAAACATTTATATGAGAAGATGAAGAACATGGGCACAGGTCCCGACATTATTGCATCTAATAGTATGCTCAATATGTATGCAACGTTAGGAATGATATCTCAAGCAAAATTGATATTTCGTGATTTGCGTCAGAAAGGGAGGGCAGATGAGGTAACTTTTGCTACTATTATGTATGCGTACATGAACATGGGTATGCTAAGTGAAGCCATTGGCATTGCAGAGGAGATAAAGCAGTCAGGATTTCTGAGGGATTGCATGACATTTAACCTGGTGATGGCATGCTATTGCTCAAATGGCAAACTTGTTGAGTGTGGTGAGCTGTTGCATGAAATGGTAGACATGAAGCTTCTACCAAACAAGTCAACATTTCGAATATTATTCACCATATTACGCAAGGGAGATTTTCCAGCTGAAGCAATCAGACAGCTTAAGTCATCATACCTAGAAGGGAAAGATCACGCAAGCGATGCTGTGATAACCTCTGTATTTTCTATGCTGGGTTTGCATGCATATGCACTTGAATCATGTGAGATCTTCATAAACCCAACAATGGGGCTTCATTCCTTTGTCTACAATGTTGCAATATATGCTTATGGAGTATCAGGGGATCCAGATAAGGCCCTCAACATCTTCATGAAAATGATTGATGTGGGTCTGAAACCAGATGTTTTTACATATCTTGGCCTTGTAGTTTGTTATGGAAAAGCTCGCTTAGTTCAACGCATAGAGCGGATATATATGCGACTAAAATGTGGAGACATCAAGCATGATGAGTCATTGTACAATGCCATCATAGATGCCTATAAAGATGCCGGCAGAGGTGATCTTGCTTATTTGGTTAGACAACAGATGAGGCTTGCTAAAACAGATGGTGAATTTGATGAAGAACAGTACCCTAACTCTGAAACTGGGGATTCTTTTGATGAAGATGAGTGTCTTTACTAGTTTACTCTAAAAGTTAGCGATGGCATTCTCGGAACAATACTAGCAGGTCATCAACTCCTTATCCAGAATTTAGAATGATAGCTGTTGAAAATTTCTGCCTTCAAGATTTTCAGCTGGATATGAGGATATAATCTGCTTGTGTTTCGTTACTGTATAGATCTTCGTCAAGTAGAAGATGAGCGTATGATTACTTTTCCTCAATTGGTCAACATTTGGTAGTTGTACGTTGTACATTTTATTTTACTGATTTTCACAGTATATGTAGGCGGTTACACTTATTTTGTTCTTACTGTTATTTCTTCGAGTGACACCTGAAAGATCTGAATTTTTGTTAATTCATTTTGCACGTGTCCTGACATGTTACTATACTTCATTCTTTCCCTTCTCTCTTTCGGATTAACATCATCTCTCTCTCTCACACAGAAGCCTCAGATTTTCAACCCTTGTTTTCCTGGTCAATTGAAGCATCTGAGATTCTGAGTAATCATTAAGCTTTGAAGAGATCTCTCTCTACCCAGATTTAAAAATAACCCATAATTCATTAGACCATGATACTTCAGCTTTCACTCCTTTTACATCTGAAGTTCAAGAAAAAAATAGTGGGCTGCACAAAATATTGAGCCTAGAGCATGCGGTTTTACAAAGAATGTGAAGGCACTCCTTTCCCCCTTTTCATTATGTTATTTAGAAGGGATGTGGGCAGTGATTAATCAAGCAATTGTGTATTTAATTATCAGGTTTTCAAGAGGAAGGTACTAGGTTGAGGTATATTATTTGTAAATGGACTTTGCCTCTGTGACGTTCCTCCTCTAGTCCTCTTCCCTCAGCTCCAATCATGAATGCCTAATGGTGTTTGCTGTTTTTTGTTGTTTCAGACCAAGATATGAATTCCTTGATGGCCAAGATATGAGTTATGGCTTACGGATTTGGACCATGGCTGCTGGTTAGCTAATGAAGAAAACATAGACGAACCAGATCAAAGAAAAATTAGAGAGGGAAGGGGGGAACTGTACTATGACTAATATCCCCTGGCAGAACAGGTGAACTATAAAAAAGGATAACTTTAATTTGTTGGTGCTGACTAAACAAAAGATAACTTTAGTTTGTTGGTGTCAACTTTAAAACTTATACTAGCTCAGTCTCTACTTCTAGGTTTTATTGGTTGATTATTGCTATAGTCTCACCAATTCTACAACAGACTTTGATCAAAATTTTGAGGGTTGCCATTGGATGTGTTCAGGATCGGAACTGGATCCATACATTGAAATTTTTTCAAACTTGGTTTGACTTAGATTCATGTTTAGTTTGTCTCCATGGGTTAGATAAAGTTCATAATCACCTGTATTGAATAAAAATGTCCACGTTTTCCTCATAAATTTAATGATTAAACTTTTGCGGGTACATAATTTCCAGATAACTCGCCCCTTATATGATTGGGAAGCATGTTGACCTAGGGCGTGTTTGTATTTCTGCAGATTGGCCCTCGAAGAGCTAAAGAAAGCAGCTTTTGACCTTCATTATTTTTGGTGTTTTGAGCTAGAACGCTACAAAACAAACAGAGGAATCTGTAAGTATTTTGTGGAATTTCAAACTCACCCCAACTTGCACATGGAGTTACAATGTTATTCCTCTTTTTTTTATAGCTACTAATATCATATTTCTACAAAGTAAAAGCATCAACCATTTTCTGATTGTGTGCAGTTCTGGCTTGTTATCAGACCTTGGTCCAAGTGTGGTTTGTTAGTTTCTTTGGAGCACACGTTAGCCACCACTAACAAAGCAACCATGCATTTGCATGATCAAGGCTTCAAACCTCCCGCATAAAACGGCACGGTACACAAAATAAAAATGATAAGGTGTGAAAATCATAAAGGAAGATGTTAGAGGTAGACCTCATGTGTACACCACCGAATCTCCACCACACATCTTGGTAATGAATAAAACGAGCCAAGGATAGATAAGAAATGTGTGGTGAGGAAACTGGTAGTGCACAAATGTGGGCTAAATGTACCCTTGATAAATTTCATACTGCACCCTTCCTAGATATAAATTGAGTTGACCAAGAAAACACATCTGCTTTGGTTGAGTTGAGAAATTCTTCAAATGGTATATCCCTTCTCACACTTAGGCTCTCGATAGCCTGGAGCCCAGCATCCAAGTTGTCTAACTCTAAGTCTCCCCATACCCATTCTTCGAGTAAACGATCACGTAGGCCCCGCACGTTCTCACCTTCATTCATCAGCATAAATAGGGATTGGGCCTTTTGCCGCTCCCGCCGTATTTCATTTAGATACTCCTAGATCTCTGAAGGAATCCTAATTGTATCTGGAACATATCTGATGAAGGAAGGTGAGAACCCTAAGGAGCTTACGTGATTGTTTACTCAAAGAATGGGTATGAGGAGAGTTGGAGTTAGACGACTTGAATGTTGGGCTTCAGGCTATCGAGAGCCGAAATGTGAGAAGGGATATACCATTTGAAGATTTCCTCAAGTCAACTAAAGTAGATGTCTTTTCGATGACGCAAAGGCCTTACCAAAGGCCTAAGGTATGTTCCTTTGTCAAGTCGATTTTACATCTAGGAGGGTGCAGTATGAAATTTATCATTGGGTAATAGTAGAGGTACATTTCACATTCGTGCACTAATAGTTTCCTCGCCGCACATTTCTTATCCATCCCTGGCACATTTTGTTCATACCAAGATGTGTGGTGTAGATTAGGTGGTGTGCACATGAGATGTACCTCTAACATCTTTCCTTATGATTTTCACACATTATCGTTTTTAGTTTGTGTAGTGTACTGTTTTACGCGGGAGCTTTGAAGCATTAATCATGCAAATGCATGGTCGCTTTGTTAGTGGTGGCTAAACCCAAACTGGAAGTTCTTACATGATGTTTGCTGCAAATAAACCAGACAGAGAGAAAAGGCATGTCTGGATTTAGTTCTTGGTCGCTCTGCACGTACTTTTAAATATCAAAATTTTCCATATTGGGCATGTTGGAATAAGCATAATATGAGTTCCCTACCATATTTCTCTTTTGGGATGTCTAAAAAAGTCTCCTCTTTCTTTTTTTGGAAAATTGTGAGTGGCTCCTCTGTTCGGACATATGTTATAATTGGTTTACTTTATTTGGGTTTGAATTTAATTCAGTTTCATATCGAAGAAATAGAAAGAGTCATGGAAGAACATGTCTAGTCGTGAAAAGGATAACACCACATTAGGACTAAAATTTGCCCAATTAACCAAGCAGAAAAGCTACTTATTAGAAACACCATCTTGTTGTTGCAGCGAAATAGATAAACGTTTACTACTCTGGCTAAAGTTGAACTAGGAAAAATATAAGTATTTAATTGTTGTAAAATAAGATTATTCAAAAAAAATACAGAGAATTTCAAGAGTACGTATTGTATTTCCGTACGGACCAAAGCTGCTTGCATTTTTATCTAAACTATTCCCGAAAAGATTCACTAAAAAATATATATCAATGTAAGGCAGTTAGTGTATACGGTCGACCAAAAGTGATATATAAAGGTGCATAATAAATCGCCCAGGAATTAAACTCGTGATTGCTGCTGCCTTATGATTTGGATTTTCCCTAACCATAGCGCGTATAAGCAAGATATACGAGGTCTTGAGAACCAACCCTCGCTTATTATTATGAGATAATAATAATGTCAGATTTGAAGGTATTGCTCATGACATAACCGGTGGAACCATAATTTGTCTTAACCAAAATTTTAGTTTCCACACCAACCACAAGGTATCATACAACTAGGATTCAAAGGTAGTGTTTGTGACAACTGTAAACATAAATTTCTAATTTTTTTTGTTTTAAATTTAGGAAAAAAATGTAGCATAAAGACTTATATTCATTTTTTTAATATAAAATTTATTATGTAAGATGTAGAAAAATGTACTCTGTAATATTTTGTTGAATAAAGATTTATATTTATTTTTTAATATTAATTTGAATTAAATTTAGATCAGATCAAATCCAATCAGATTAGATCTGTTCAAATTAGATCAAACCTAATTAGATCCAATCAAATTATATCAAAACTTCAAAAAATTGGGTCAAATCATATCAGACAAACAAAACCCACTTTAAATTTATAAAGTTATCTCAATTTTTTTAAGTGGTAGACTCCTTAAAAACCCTATTTATCCTACATCCCGTCTTCTCCAACAACGAGATTTGATTTCAAAGCAAAAAAAGAGAAGGAAAGATGTCGTACTTGCTGCCCCATCTTCACTCCGGTTGGGCCGTCGATCAAGCAATCCTCGCAGAGGAGGAGCGCCTCGTCCTCATCCGCTTCGGCCATGACTGGGACGAGACCTGTATGCAGGTATTTTTTCCATCGTTAGCAAATCGAATTCCAATTCATTTCTCTCTTTACCATTCTGTTTGTCCTAAAATTACAATCTGGTTTAATGGGGGAATTGCGTGAATCAGTACTGCCTTAATATCTGAACTTATTTTCTGTTAATTGTAACAAGAAAGAACCTATTTTTAATTAAGTGAGATTTTTATTTTTAAAATTTGTTTAGAGGTCCTCTAAAAGAAGTTGTTTAGAGGAGAGACTATAGAGAATCAATTTTAACCATACACACTTTTGGGGAAAGTGGAATGATTTTCTTGGGACAGCCTGAAAAGAAAGAACATGATTATGGGGTGGGAGAGTATTCAATAGTAATTTGTAAAATATGTGTGGTTGGAATGTGTAATACTGTAATTCTCTATGAACTTTATGTGGGTGGATTTAGTATCATTGATCCTTTGTAAGAGCTGGAATTAATATTGTGTTCAAATGTTTTGACATTATATTAGAACCTTGTAGCAGTTTATTAACTTATTAAACTCTTACTCTAACTTGAACGGAAATGGGGACGGGTAACCATCCGGGTCGTGGTCAGAAACGGGGAAACACTAACTTTTCCATATGTTACAAAGGATTTGGATGTTAGGATGTCTCCAAGTACCCAAACGGAGAGTTTCGGTAATGGGAAGTGGAAATTATATGAGGAATCTGTGCAACATACTAACATAGGTTTTACTAATAATGTCTTTCCATGACCTTTCTCTGCATACAATAAGATATTCTATTCCAAATTTAGTGAGTTACATGTGTGTCTATTATTTGATTTGATGAGTGGGATTCTTGATGAAACTATGTAAGTGCTTCATAAACTTGTATCATATATTTGTTCTGTTTAATTCACTTAGCTTGATGTTTAGCATTTTTTCCTGTTTGAGCAATTGGTTTTGTTTGGTATTACAGGAAGCCCTACTTATACTACTTCTCTTTTCTTTGATTTCTCATGGTATAAAGATGCAAACTATAGGGATGCATACAAAGATTAAATACTACTCTATGTTCTCTCTATATTCCCCCCTTTTGTAGTTTGTAGAAAACATGTCACTAGTGACTAGTGTATCATTTCTTGCACTTAATGTTATTGTTGAGAATAAGGCTACTGCAATATAAAAACAATCAAGTCTCAGTCCTAATTATTAGCAACGAATACATTACCTAATAGAAAGTCTGCCCAAGTTCCTTATGGTCCACCCTTTTTTTGTTGGAAAAAACTACTGTGTATAAAAGTTGCTATGCACACAAATATCTGTACAAGTTAGACAAACTCATGTTATTTTGTGACTGTTTACATTTATTTCCTACCCATGGTTTGGTGAATCCGTAATACGAACAAAACTCTTTCTATTGAGCAAGAAAAAGGTTTCCTACTTGGCAGTATATTCTATAGAGTAAGATCCTCTGGTCAAGTGGATGGACCAGTGCTAGGGATTCCAAAGGGAACGCTTACCAGGGTTCAACTACCCATGGAAGCAAGGGGAGGGTTTTCTCAAGGGATTTTAGTTAAACAAATGCATAAGTGTTAGCCTTGGTTTGTTAAATCTCATGTTTTAATGTTAACAAACAATATACTGCGTATGAGCTAAAGTTTGTTGGAGTTTTTTAGGTATAAGAAAATTCATTAAGAATCGGTTCTCAAGAAGAAGGTTGAAACACCAAACTAGCGAAGAATATAGGTAGAACCAAATGTAAGAATGTGGTTTTATATTCCTATGTTCACAAGCTCAATTTGCACTCACAAATATGCTTAAAACTATCCTATAGGCTTTTCAAATGTCCAAAAGATTACACAAACACAAGGATTTGGGCCAAAATAGAAAAACTAGAATTGTGTCTCAGGACCTCACGCTGTCACCAAGGACCTCACTACGGTGTCACTATTGTAAGCCAGTACCTAACTACCAACCAGGACCACTACCCATCAGAGTGATTTCAACTATGACGGTACCTTCCACTACCGTGTATACTGTGTCTCCCTCTACCTGACCCAGAAGCAGTGACCAGCCTCTTCTGCCTCCATCTACCTGACCCAGATGTGTCTCCTGTTGATCTACTGTGCTTTGATGCTGTCTAAGAGCTGCTGCTGTTGCTGATCTAACTGCGAGTGGACCTATCTCTGCGCATCTTATGGTGCTGCTGCTGGTCCTGATATAATGCTTCAAGGTGGATTCTTTGCGCACATCAAATGGAAACTGCTACCCGTNGCTACCCGTATGGGCTCCTGAAGATACCCGTGGATAATTAATGACCAAAAGCAGCCATATCATAAACTACATTTGGGGGCAGGGGGGGGGGGGTTAACTTGTTTTAGGCCCATTCTCTCCATTTCAGTATTTCTTTCCCCCCCTGAAGCCATGCATATCCTTCTCTAACATTGTAACCATTAGCAGCAGGCATTTCCCTAAACAATTTCCTTACTTTGATCATTTCCCTCCAATAGTGACAAGAATCTATTTTTGGGATATAACTCCAGAAATTATCATCTTTAATGTATCTATTATGTATCCATTTCACCCATAGAACATGCTTCTTTCCGGCAATTTCCCAATTAAGCTTCATTATAATAGCTCTATTCCAGTTGTAAACATTTTTAATGCCCAATCCTCCATATTTCTTCTCCTTACAAATGTCCTCCGAGTTGACTAGTGGGGTTCTGCTGTATTCTTGAGTTCCTCCCCACAGAAAATTTCTACAGATGGACATAATTCTCTTCACAACCATCTTAGGTAGAATGAATATTCTTGACCAAAAGGATATGACTCCCATCAGAACTGAATTAATGATTCTAATTCTAGCACTATAAGAAAAGTGTCTAGAACCCAAAGCATTGATTCTACTAGTTAACTTATGAACTAGCGTATCACAATCATTCACCTTTAGACTAGCAGTAGTAATAGGACTACCAAGATAGGTAAAAGGCTTTCCTCAACTTCATTTTAGTTGGTCTAAGCAGCTCTCCTTGTTTCTATTGGTTCACACCTCCATACACAATATGGATTTATTATTGTCAATGCTCAGCCCAGTGGAGAGGTGAAATTCCTACTAAAACCCTCATAATGCATTTGATAGATTTTTCATCAGTTTTGCCAACAACAATTAAATCATCAGCAAAGCATAGATTAACTGTCTTCAGATTACCACACATAGGGTGAAAAGGAAACTTATCCCTTTGAACTGCCACTTGAAAGCTTCTAGTCAAATATTCCATCACCAAAACAAACAACAAAGCAGATATCGGATCTCCCTGACTCAACCCTCTAGCCCTTATGAAGTAACCACACTGACCTCCATTAATATTAATTGTGTATGTTGGAGTAGTAATGCAAAACATAACCCAAGTAATAAACAATTCAGGAAAGTTGAGACTGTGCAGAATACCTCTAACAGCTTCCCTTACAGAATCATAAGCTTTTTGGATGTCCAAATTCATCATGCATCTTGGAGAAATACCTTTCCTGTTGTACCCTTTAGCAATCTCCTGGCACATAAGAACATTAAGGATGAGTTCCCTCCCTTGTTCAAAAGCCCCTTGATTAACATCCACAACATGTGGGAGAACCTCCTTCAATCTCTCATACACATAAGCTTAGAAATATAGATAGTCTTACAACAAGCAATTGGCCTATAATCAGCAGGGCTCTTAGGATCTGACACCTTAGGTATAATAGTCAAACAAGTAGGCATTAATCTGACTTTATAGATAGTGTTACAACAGTCATTATTATTATTATTACTATCATTATTTGAATTTTTTCAGATGGATGAAGTATTGGCTTCAGTTGCGGAGACGATAAAGAATTTCGCGGTGATATACCTGGTGGATATCACAGAAGTGCCCGACTTCAACACAATGTATGAACTGTATGACCCCTCTACGGTGATGTTCTTCTTCAGAAACAAACACATCATGATCGATCTCGGCACCGGGAACAACAACAAGATCAACTGGGCAATGAAGGACAAGCAGGAGTTCATCGACATTGTTGAGACTGTTTATCGCGGTGCGCGAAAGGGCCGCGGTCTGGTCATTGCTCCCAAAGATTACTCTACCAAGTACCGTTACTGAGTAATTATGTATTTGCTTGCATGCATGTATGAACCCTGAAATTACTCTGTTTCCCTTTGTACTGAAAGTTATCTTTCCACTTTTCTTCTTTCATGGCGTCCTGAAATTATTATCTTTCACTTAAACGATGAAGTTTATGTTTAATGTTACTTTGGCTTTGTTACTCAAAAATATATTCCTTTCTAATCTCTTTTTGAGTTTCATCTTCCCCTATGCCCTAAATCTTCTTCTTTCTGCTAATCAACATTGTCTTTTCCATACTTCCTCCGTCCCTAAAAGAAGTACTTTCTTTGATCAACATGTAATTTTATGTTTTTTTTAAATGATTTTATTTAAGTACTTTCTTTGATCAACGTGTAACTTTATGTTTTTTTTAAATGACTTTATTTATAAATTGGTGTAAAAATAAAATAATGTATATCTCTCTCTTCCTCTTTCTTCTATCCTCCCCCTTTTTCTTTTTTACTCTTTCGTACATCCCGATAAAATACTCCGTGCATACTATTCTCCACCACCACCACATCTTTCATTATTTTAATTCTCTTTCCAATAAGGGCTGTGGTAATACCACTAACACCCGACTGCCCTCTTTCTTGTAAAGCACCGTTATCTTTGCAGCGTTAAACACGCAAATTGTAGGCCAAAATTCGGCCGTTGGAGCCCCCCTCCACCGCCCCTCATTTCCCGCTATTGCACCATATACTTTGTTATTCAATGAATGTAATTTTTTCATTAATGAATGTAATTTTTTATTTAATAGATGTAATTTTTTTAATTTATGAAGGTAATTTTTCTAATGAACGAATGTAATTTTTTTAATAAATAAAATTAAATAATTAAATTTTATTAATTTAATTTTAGAAGATGTTTATTTAAAATGTAAAAAATGAAGGTTTGAAGTCTCGGAACTTCATAACCATTTCCAGTGAATTGGTGAGGTAAGTTAAAACTGGCGTAGCAGAAAAAAAGAAGATTGAAGCCTAAGTTTGTAGCCCAGGGGTTTCAAGACCAACTCTAGTGCTCTCACACACCCATTTCACATCACATATTTCATTTCTTTTTATTTAGTTTATTTTTCTTTTTTTTAGCCTATTTTATTTTCCTTTTCACTCTAAAAATAAAAATAAATTCCAACATAATTAATATTTGGTAAATAGGGAGAGATTTCCCTACCAGATCTACAAAATTGTTCTACTAAATATAATTAAATATAGACATAAGTACGTCTCTATTCATTTCATTTATCTATCGATATAAAATGGAGAGTGTATTCCGTAAAACATGCTTAATTACAATTAAGCTTTGTTTGGTACAAGGGAATTCAAACTATGAAATTGGAATTAGAGATAACAATTTCAAATTCTGCTGTTTGGTAACACAAAAATATGTGGATTTTGAATTGATAGTGTCAAAAATGAATTGCAATGGGAAAATTCAATTCCATCTAATTCGATTCTATGGACAAAAGGTATGTTTGAGAATAGCGTTAAAAATTAACCTTAGCATTTTAGATAAAAATTTAACAATGCAGATTACTTTGAAATACTAATGTTAAACGCCGCTCGTGGATAGCATTTTCAAAACGATAACGCTAATCTTTAATGTTATTCCCAAACAGGCCCAAAATACCCAAAGTGATTAGGTCAAAATATAATGATTCAACCCAATCAATTAATATGAGGTTCACTGTTTGTAATCTTGATTTATTTCCCACTTTTAAAGTGGAATCAAAATATAATGATTCAAGTCATTCAACCCAACCAATTAATATGAGGTTTTTTTCTTTTTTTACCAAAATGAAAAGTAGTGCAATTGCGTTAAAAAAACGAGAAATCACAAGAAAATAAGTGGCACTAGCCTTTTATGCACAAGCATTTGGTAATTAAACGTATAACTTCCAATTTCCAAATGAACAATTACACCTTGAACAATCAGTTTTAAGTATAATAACAAAAACTCATTACCAGGTAAAAGGAAGTTGCAAATGAATTCCAGTCTCATTCAACATATAGGAAAAATGGGGCCAGTTCAAGCCCTGCCATTCCATTCTTCATAAAACTCTTCAAGAAAATCTTCAATAAATTTGTGCCTTCTTTCAGCCCTCCGTTTCCCCGCCTGCCGATAGAGTCCAAGTCAGAACCAATATATGAAACAAAGGGCGAAAAGGGTAGGAACGATTTATCAGGTGCAGTTTGGGAACCTGGGTTTTCATCAAGTCCTTCAACTTGAGAAGTTTCTCGTGAAAGTGATTAATAGTCGTCTGCTCCTCTTTGTTCATGTATTTTTCCTTGGACAGATCTGACCTCGGAAGAATTTTAGGATCATGAAGAACTCTGTGCCTACTTCCGCCAAATGTAAAACATCTAGCGATTCCTGAAAGTTGATACTTATAAGTTAACGAACAAAAACATACGGATTATCGCATATCCTTCCAAAATTCTTGCATAATTGACTATTAACAAAATGACATTTGTTCATAAATAACTATCAATTTAGAAACCTGATGCAAAAAAAAGAGAGTGAAATGAATTTTTAACCCACTTCTCCCTTAGCAATCTATGTGATTGGTGTACTTTGGGAAGAGAAATTTTACATGGTATACCAAACATCAACAGTTTGGTAATGTCTGCAGCCCTTGGTGAATCAATACAATTACATATATATACCGCAACTCCGCAAGAATACTAAAGAAGTGTTCACAACATGCCATGTAGCATTCGTCATCTACTTTACACTACATTTCACTTTTCTGTATAAATCTCCCCAAGTCCCATATCTTTCTTCTTGTTTTGATTCAGCACACTTTTTAATGTAAGATAAAAAAATGTTTGACTTTGCATTTTTTCCCTAGGTGGTGTAATAAATTGAAGAGATGTAAAAAAGGCGAATAGTCTTTCCATTGAAGGAAAATGAAAAGAAAGATATAAAACGGTCAAAAAAGGAAAATGAGAAGATCTAGGACCGAGGAAGCACAATACTATTTATTCATGAAACTAGATGTTTTTTATAATACTCTGTATCCAATAAATGTTTTGCTTAATATAACCTTTTATTATTTTTGTACCTAAATGCATACATTTTTAATCACTAATACTAAATTAAATATTACATGAATATTAGACGAGCTAAAAATAATAAGATATTCAACAAAATTTGTTAAGAGGTATCATCTTTTTATTTTTGTACCTAAAAAATAAAATGAGTAAAGGCTCATAAAAGGTATAAATTGCAATTGAAGGTCAATTAAATTACCTATGGCACCAATTGCATCAAGACGGTCTGCATCTTGCACAACCCCAAATTCCAGCGAAGAAATACCATTTGCATGGCCTTCAACTTCTTCTTTAAACCCTGAAAATGAATGCTTATACTTCTTTGTCCCAAAATGGAGGTCACATTATTCTTTGGTCAAACTACATCTCTAGTCAACTTAAATTTTGTAATATATTTTAAACTATGTTTTCGAAATACGTAGTAAATGTTTTCTCCTCGCTGGTTTAGAACACACTTAAGAAAGAAAGATGCAATATCACAACCACAGCTTCCAACATCGTTGATCAGTGTAAATGTGATTTCTTTACAACAAAACAAACAGCAACCCAACTTCATTTGAATGGCAAATTAGAGATGAATGTCAGTGCCAATGTGCTATTTAGACATGAAGATATTTGCAACAAACAGTAAATCACTTTAACCATATGCCCATATATAGCATCTTACCCATTCCCTTTATGATCTTCAAAATATTGGTCCTCGTGTTATCTTCTATCCCTTCATTTTCAAGGAATTCCTCAACAATTTTTGCTTCGGATGGGTCCCTAGATCATAATAAGTGTGAAAACTGAGAGCTGATAATAGGAAGCATATGGGACATAGAGGAGTTGACGAATAGAAGTTAATTCCTTGTGCATGAATGAAATCTCATATCTTTTATGCTCCATAGATAAATACATAAGTTAATTTGCAATTTTAGGCTCTCTATGTCCACTTGTTCTAATTACAGGCTAAACCATATAGGCAATGCATATCAAACCTGTGTGCTTGTCATTGAAGCTTATACTTACAGTCAATAGTGATAATGGAAAATACCAACCTTACATATTTGTAGTCACCTGCATATGAGCAAGCAGTAGGAAGGAATTCCATTAGTTTGTAATAATTGTCACCACTAGGAAGAGAACAAATTCAAATGATGAGGGAGATAAGTGGAAGATTAATTCTTTCCTACAACAAACATATTTTCTAATGTAAATTGGTATGTATACATGAACAAGAAAAGGTTTTGATACCTATATCATGCAGCAGAGCAGCTAGTTCCACCTGTCAAAAAGATACATTTAGTAACACGTGTTCTCAACAACTAATATATCAGCCTCAACAGAGAGTAACAATATTTAACTAAATTGAATTCTATTTTTGCTAAGCATCAAGCACCCCACACTAACCACAAACAATTCAAAAAAAATCGGACATCAATTGTTTTTTAAAAATACATTCGGTAATTATTACATATTGGCAAATGATCCCAAAATTTATCAACAAAACAAATTCAACAGCCCTATAGGTATTAGGTGTCATAAGTGGGGTCTAGGGAGGGTGGATCATGAATGTACCACAGCATATGCCTACCTATAAAGATAGGTTTTTTGCAAAAGACCCACATCTCAAGAAAACACACAAAAAGATTAGATCAATCAAAATTTAAGTGAATCAAACATTAATTATGAAATTATGGTTTTAGCATATTGCTTCGTGAAAAATCAGTACACTCAAACTCAATGTCGAAGCCTTTTAAGTAGGAACCAGTACTCCAATAATTGTTCAAGAAATTAAGGCAATATCCAATTACAGCATTCTCCAAGATTCCTCCTTGTACTAAACCTAGATTGCCAACACAATGCAGGGCACCAAGTCAGCCTTTTAACATTATTTTGCAACTAAAAATTTAACAAAAGAGTAGTTTTGAGCTCAATCTCATCATCATAAAGTAAAAGCACACTCTCACCAACCACCTTCCTAAAGTAAAAGTATCCACTCGGCACTGCAATTGATAATTGACTCTAAAACAAGAGCAAAGTCATGTTTACAAATGTGAAGTTAAGGCTAAATTAAGGGTAATTTCCCAAAGTTGATAAGGGGGAAACTTATGTAGGGAGAGATCATGAAATTTTTCAATCAAACTACAACTA